TCACAAAAGGGCTGCGGTGCTCACCCAGGTGTCTAGCACACAGTTTGATGGACAACGAGGTGGCTTCTTCCTTTTCTTCCTTTTCCTCCTCCTTCCTCTTATTTTTGTTTTATTTTTGAGACAAGGGTCTCACTAGGAGCCCTGGCTGGCCTAGAACACACTAAATAGACCAGATGGCTCTCAAATCCACAGAGATCCACCTGCCTCTGCTTCCCAAGTAAAGACACAAGGCACCACTCCAGGATCGCCAGCCTCCTTTTCTTCTGACAGGGTCTCACTATGCTGCCCAGGCCACCTCCAAATTCCTAAAAGTCTTCCTGCCTTAGCTTCGCAAGTGCTGAGATTATCAATTCCCCCTGTGACACACAGGTTTGGTGGGTGAGTGGAAACAATCCTGCTTGCCTGTCCTTAACCTGCAGTATGTCAGCATGAACAAAAGCAACAGGTTAGGACTGTTCCCCATTCTGCCTGCCCAGTGGTCCCCTTCCATGTTCAATCACTAGGGTAGCTAATCTGAATTCTGTAACATGAGTTTTGCTGGAGGGAAGCTGAGGCTACAGTCCACTTGACCCCCAAGCAAAACAAAACAGCCACCACTGAGCCCTGAGGTCCACAGCTCTGCCTTCTAACCTTGAGATAAGATTTTCATTTGAAAATGAAAAGCAGAACAAAGTATCTTAGATTTCAGTGTCCTTATGCTCTTGTTTACAGTAGGATACAGTGTGGGAGTGGCTGGAGAGATAGCTGTCCTTGTGAGCACTTGTTCCTGCAGAGGACCTGGTTTCAGATTCCAGCACCAGCGTCAAGCAGCTCCAACCACCTACAACTCCAGCTCCAGGGATACCCTCTTTGATTGAATGCACCCAGCATACGTTCATACTTCCATGCACATATCATAAAAATAATTTTTGAGGCCAGGTAGTGGTGGCATGGTGTAGGACAATTCTATATTCTGTCAGTTATGTTTTAAATAAATGCTGATTGGCCATTAGCCAGGCAGGAAGTATAGGTGGGACAACCAGACAGGAAGTAGAAGCGGAGCAAGAATAGGAGAATTCTGGAAAGAAGGAAGCTCCCTCCCCAGTCCTGCCCAGACCACGAAGAAGCAAGATATAAACTACCCTGCTAAAAAAGGTATCGAGCCATGGGTTGATATAAGTTCTAAGAGTTAGCAAGAAGCCTGAGCTAATGGGCCAATCAGTGTATAGACCTCTGTGTGATTTTCTTTGGGACCTTGCCAGCTGTGGGAACAGGGCTGGATAGAAACCCCAATAAGCCTCGTGTTATAGTGGCACATGCCATCAATCCCAGGATTTAGAAGGCAAAGGCAGACAGATCTTTGTGAGTTTGAGGCCAGTCTGGTCTGCAAATCAAGTCCCAGGATAGTCAGAGCTGTTATGCAGACTAACCCTGTCTTGAAAAACCAAAATAAATGATTTTTTAAAAATCATATGCATAATTTTATGAAGTGGGATTCCCCTCTGTGTGCTGTGAATATACCATTGGCTAATAAAGAAACTTGCTTGGCCTATGATAGGGTAGAATAGAGGTAGGTGGAGAAATCTAAACTGAATGCTGGGAGAAAGAAGGGCCGAGTCAGAGAGAAGCCATGTAGCCCTGCTGGAGACAGATGCCGGAACTTTACCCAGTAAGCCACAGCCTCATGGCAATATACAGATTAATGGAGATGGGTTAAATTAATATGTAAGAGCTAGCTAATAAGAAACTAGAGCTATTAGGACAAGCAGTGATTTAATTAATATAGTTTCTATGTGGTTATTTTGGGAGTCTGGGCAGCTGGGTAACGAACAAGCTGCCTCTTACTGCAATTTTAGCTTAAAATCTAAAAGCCAGAACCTAGGGGCTGGGAGTATAGTTCAGTAGTAGAGTACTTGCCTAGTATAGAAAAGGCTCTGGCCTCTATCCTTAGCCCTGCAAATACACGAAGAAACAAATGCCGATATTCCATTATATATTAATAATCAGAATTGTAAGCTCTTAGTTACACAAAGGGAGAAAATAATCAAGGCAGGGCAGATTTACAGAGGCCTTCAGAGAAAGCAGTATTTAGTTTTTCAAAAGTAACCACATGAAATATGCAGAATTGCGAGGGAGAAAACAAACCAAATGAATATAAATGTTGTTGACATTGAGTTTTGTTTTTGTTTTTAGCGGTAGGAATCAAATGCAATGCCCTGTGTAAGCCTGACAAGCATTCTGCCACTGAGCTCTACCTCAGCCCTGGATCTGGGTAGAACTTTGGAATGAATGCTCTTTAACTATATGATGAAGACCGTGCTTTACTTGTGAGTAGGAAGTGTAGGGAAAGAGAAACGTTTGTTACACTAAAGATAAGATATGCATTTGACAAATGACTTAAGATGAGAACTTCACAGTGATCTAAGAAAGAACACACAAAATAGGGAATATTGATAGCAGATGAAAGCGTTTGTACTGGAAAATGACTGAGCATCTCCGTAAATGTCAGCCTAACCTGCTAGCAAAAGCTACATTCAAATCACCGCAGGAATCTCCAGGAATATTTACACAATGGAGTACTACACAGCAGAAAAAAATAACGACATCTTGAATTTTGCAGGCAAATGAATGGAGCTAGAAAACATCATTTTGAGTGAGGTAACCTAGACCCAGAAAGACAAATATCATATGTACTCACTCATAAGGGGCTTTTTAGCAAAGGAAACCAGCCTACAAATCACAAGGTTGTGTTGCATTTGCTTAACTATGTAAAGATGTGTTACTGTTTTACCTTGCCTGCCTAAGGCACTTGACTGGTTTAATAAAAAGTTGAATGGCCAATAGCAAGGGAGGAGGTATAGGTGGGTCTTACAAGCAGGGGTAGTAACTAGGAGGAAGTATTTAGGTTTGGAAAGGAAAAAAGAAAAAGAGATGCCAGGGAGATGCCAGGGGACAGCCAGATAGACATGGACGAAGCAGGAAAATAAGAATACAGAATGAAAGAAAGGTAAAAAGCCCCAAGGCAAAGGCAGATGAATAGAAACGGATTAAATTAAATTAAAAGACATAGTGGGACAAGCCTAAGTTAAGACCTAGCATTCATAATTCATATAAGTCTCCATTCCTTTATTGGGAGCTGGTTGGCAGCTCAAAGAAATTTCCAACTACATGAACACACACACACACACACACACACACACACACACACACAAAGTTGGAGGAGTAGTAGAGCCATGGATACAATCTAGTTGGTAGAGTATCTTATCTAGCACATAGTCCTGCACCTGATCCTCAGTATGATACAGACATGAAGGCACAGATGTGGAATTTTAATACTAGGAGCAGAAGAAGGGAAATCACAAATTCAAGATTCTCTTCAAATGTATAACCTATTTGAGTCCAGCCTGGTTACATGAGACCCCACCTCAAATAAACAATAAACAAAATATTAAATATTAGGGTTGAAGAAATGATCGTTACTAGGAAAAACTTTTTAAAATGGAGTATTAGCTTTACAGGTGAAACACTACTGGAAATCATCATCACCATTTTGAGACAGGATCTCACTACATAGCCTTGGCAGGCCTGGAATTCACTCTGTAGACCAGGTTGGCCTTGAATTTCTAGAAATCCTCCTGCCTCTGTCTCCCAAGTGCTGGGATTAATAGAGACAAGCCTCCACACCTAGCATGAAGTTAATTCTTCTTTGTTTTGTTTTGCTTTTTTTGAGACAGGGTTTCTCTGTGTAGCCTTGGCTGTCCTAGAACTCACTCTGTAGACCAGGTTGGCCTCATACTCACAGAGATCCTCCTGTCTCTGCCTCCCAAATGCTGGGGTTAAAGGTGTGTGCCACCACCACCTGTTGAAGTTAATTCTCAAGACAGGTGTAATGGCCCACCTGGAACCCCAGTATTTGGGAAACCGAGGCAGGATGTCCGTGAGTCTGAAGCCAGGCTTTGTGACACGGTGAGATCCAACCTCCTTTTCGTAACTTTTAAAATTTAAACGCCAAACCCTTCCTATCATCTTTATTGAGGGATCGTTGTCCAGACAGATCAGCTGTTAGGTTTTGAAAAAAAAAACAACAAATGTAGACAACCATGAGAAAAGAATATAACACATTCTTAGTGATTTCATCTGCAAGAGTTTTCAATTCATTTGGGCTGTGACAGACAAGACAGCGACTGTGTGCCCTGGGCCTGGGAGAGACACTGTGACTCATTCAGCATGTGGCTGGGCAAGCGTTGTAAGCCTGGAGCCATTTTAATCTGCAGGCTTACAGCTGGTGAGATAGCTGAAGCTCTGCCCTTCAAATCCCCAAGTCAGGGAGAGGGAAAAGCACAGAAGTAATGAACAGGATCTGATAACTCTTACGACAGAGTGGGGCATGCTGGCGGGAAGGAAAGGGAGCTAAGCCTGAAAGATAATAGCAGATGGTCAAGAGAAGTGGGTGGGCTGGTCACGGTGGTACATTCATTTAGTGCCATCACTCAACAGGCAGAGGAAGGCAGATCTCTGTGAGTTCAAGACCAGCCTGGCTTACAAATGGAGTTCCAGGAGAGCTAGCCAGGACCACACAGTGAGACCCCAAATTAAAGAGAGAGAGAAAAGTTGGTAGACGGCACCAGGGTAAAGGAGAAAGGAAGGATGGAGTCAAGTCCTTCCTAAGAGCAAGTTGAGGGCACCTGGGGAAGAGCAGAGAGTGACCACAGTCAGAATACACTCTGAGGCCCGACCAAGGAACTAACTTTATTACATTTTATTTATTTAGTGTTGGGGGGTGAGGGTGTGTGTGCATACATCCATGTCACATGACACATGTGGAACTCAGAGAACGGCCTGGAGGAATTAGTTCTCTCTTTCCACCATGCAAGACTCCCAAGACTCAAGCTCACCTGGTCATGCTTGGCCACAAGTGTCCTTATCTACCAAGCCATCTTCCTGATGCAAGAAACTCGAATTTTATCTTGGAAGCTGTTTTGGTTTCATTTCTGTTGCTATAATAAAACACCCTGGCAAAATCAGTTTAAAGAAGAAAGGGTTTATTTGGCTTACCATTCTGGGTTACAGTCCATCATTTTGGGGAAATCAAGTCAAGAATTCAAGCAGCCAGTCCCATCACATCCAAAATCAAGACCCAAGAGAATATATACACCCTTGCTTGCTTAAGTTCAGTTTCCTTCCCTCATTTACATACAGCTCAGGACCTAGGCTAAGGAATGGTGCTGCCCTCCTTCAGGATGGGTCTTCCCACTCGGTCAACAACCTGAGATAGCTTAGCAGGCAAGGGCATTTGTAAAAACTCTTGCAAAGACCTGGGTTTGATTCTCGCACCCACATAGTGGCTCACAATCACCTGCAACTCCAGTTCCAGGGGATCCAATGACCTCTTCTGACCTTTGTGGGGAATGAAAGACTGAGTCCCGAGTGGTATTTCCTGAAAGTAGAAAGCTAGGAAGGAAGGCCGGGCACGTGTGACACAGGCGTTTAATCCCAGCACTTGGGAAGAAGAGGCAGATAGATCCTTATGAGTTTGATTCCAGTCTGGTTTACACTACGAATCCAAGTCAGCCAGAGCTACACGGTAAGAACCTGTTTCAAAATAGAAATAATTTAATTTAGTGAAGCTGGATAGGAGGCTGGGGAGGTAAATGAAAGGTTGATTGCCAAGGCTAAGTAAGTCCTGAAGGAGTAGGTTTGGATAACAGACAACAGCTAAGTTTTCAAATACCAAGTTTGGATCTGTCTTAGGGTTTCCATTGCTGGGAAGAGACATCATGACCATTGCAACTCTTATAAAGAAAAGCATTTAATTGGGGCAGGCTTACATTTCAGAGGTTTAGTCTATTATTATCATTATGGGACATGGAAGCATGCAGACAGACATGGTGCAGGAGAAGGAGTTGAGAGTCCAGGCAGCAGAAGAAAAAACTGCCACACTGGGTGTGGCTTAAGTATATATTATCCCTCAAAGTCCACCTCCACAATGGCACACTTCCTCCAACAAGGCCACATATATTCCAACAGGCCATAACTTTTAATAATGCCACTCCCTATGGGCCAAACATTCAAACACATGAGTCTATGGGGGCCAATCCTATTCAAATCACCACAGGGTCATTCATAGAAACCTCACACAGAACTATATGCTGGGTAATGGGAGAGAAAGACAAATTAGAGTTAATAACCCTAGACTCACTCATCAAAATCTCCTGGGCTGTGCCTTTGAGACAGTAACATCTTGAGTATCCACATCTGTAAAACGAAGATGGAAATCATTATGTGACAAGCAGTCACATAATGTTACATCTAATTAACATAAAATGATATTTGATAACATGAAACATGGTATTGGGCACATGCACCTTGTGTGTAAGGCAGTGGTGGAGACAGGGTCTCTGGTACAGGAGAATTGTCTGTATTCTGTCAATCATGTTTTAAATAAGTGCTGATTGGCCAGGTAGAAAGTATAGGCAGGTCAACCAGGCAGGAAGTAGAGGTGATGCAATGAGAACAGGAGAATTCTGGGAAGGAGGAAGCCCATTCCTCCCAGTTCTGCCCAGATCACCAAAGAGGCAAGATGTGAGCTGCCCCTCTGAGAAAGTTACCGAGCCATGTGGCCAACATAGATAAGAATAATGGGTTAATATAAGCTACAAGAGCTAATAAGTAGCCTGAGCTAAAGGGACAATCAGTTTTATAACTAATGGAGATCTCTGTGTGATTTTCTTTGGGGCTTGCCGGCTGTGGGGAACTGGGCAGGACATAAACCCCAACAAGCAGGCCCCCTCATGTTACAGGTCTTGCTATATAGTCCAAGCTAGCTGTGACCTCCTGGGTTGGCTTCCCAAGGGCATGCAGTTTTATTTTTGTTGAGCAAAAGCTCAGAAGAGGGTCGATTGGGGGAGCTCCTATACATAAGAAACAAGCCAAGGAGACCACAGGGCCTAATGTCAGGAAAATAATACAAAACACAAGTAATTCCACAGCAAAAGCAGCTTCTGTCTCACTATTCTGTCTTCTAAATTTATATGCATTGACCCAATAACTTCACTTCCATAAGTCTATTCTGAGAAAATGAACCTTTTAACATTTTTAATAGTGAGGCTAGAGAGATGGCTCAGCGGTTAATAGTACTGGCTGCTCTTCCAGAGGACCCAGGTTCAATTCCCAGCACACACATGGCAGCTCACAAGTACCTATAACTCCAGTTCCTTCACACCAATGCACATAAAATAATTTATTTTTGGTTTTTTGAGACAGGGTTTCTCTGTGTAACAGTCATGGTCTTGAACTCACTGAGATCCACCTGCCTTTGCCTTCCAAGTGCTGAGATTAAAGGCATGTGCCATCATTGCCTGGCCATAAAACAAATTTAAATAAATTATTTTTAAAAAATTTTAATATTGCCAGGCGGTGGTAGCCCATGCCTTTAATCCCATCATTTGGGTAGAGGCAGAGGCAAGCAGCTCTCTGTGGGTTCGAGGCCAGCCTGGTCTACAAAGTGAGTTCTAGGACAGTCAGGGCTATTAGACAGAGAAACCCTGCCTTGAAGAACAAAAGCAAAATTTACTATTTATTTTAATTTTTTAAATTGTGTATATGTGGCAGTGGGGTACGGCTGTGAGCAGGGGTGCTCACGGAGGTCAAGGTTTTGGGTCCCCCTGGAGCTGAAGTTACAGGCAGTTGTGAGTCACTTGATAAGAGTTCTGGGAATCTACCTAGGGTCCTCTGTAAGAGCAGTATGTGCTCTTAACCAATGAGCCAGCTTGCCAACCCCAGAAAGAAGTTTCTAAAGGTTAAGAAAACTACTAAAATCGGGCATAGGGAAATTATAGCATTGCAGCGAACTCTTGTGATTTATTTAAAAGTGGGGTTGGAGGGGCAGAACTGGGAGACAGATATAAAGGTGTTGATCTCTGGCAGGTGTTTGTAGTCTCAGATGGTATGAAACCAAACCTGAAGGCTTCCGTTTAAAAGACAAATCATTAAATGGAATTGCAGAATGTTTGAGGGAGCAGGGTTCAAGATAGGGTTTCTCTGTGTAGCCCTAGCTGTCCTGGAACTCTATTTGTAGACCAAGCTGGCCTCGAACTCGTAGAGGTCTGCTTGCCTCTGTCTCCTGAATGTTGGGATTAAAGGCATGAGCTACCACCCCTGGCTGGATTGCAGAACACTTTTCTGGGAGAATTTTTTTAAAAAAGACTACTCACTCACTGAGTAGCCGGAGAGCCAGGCCCTGTCTCTGGAAGCGTGGTTTCTGATAATCCTTCTTCCTCAACTCTGTGTCCAGCGGAACTGGCCTCAGGTTCAGTGGCCTTTTCCTGTTTGCCGTGCCCCCTGCCCTGCCCTGACTTTTCTCTCTGCCTGAGAGGCTGCATTCCAGAGATCGATACTCAGCTAACTCCCCAGGCCTGTGCTAGGGACACTGGCAGACCAGCCAGACACCAGCTCCCCTGACCTGCTAGGATCTAATCTCCAATCTCTTTCTACTCAGTGGCTGCAGCTTTGTGTTTCCTTCAAGGATTACTGTTTCATTCCATGCCAAAAACACTCTGCCTGAGTCGGTCTGGTAACTCAACTGGGGGTGTGGATCCTAAGCAGGCTGAACTCTGCAAACGCCTGCCTATTATACTTCCAGAAGCACTTTTTTTCCCTTTCCTGGAGAAAAGGCAAATAACTTACCAGGGCCTCCAAACTCCCATGAGCTTGAAAAACCTAATTTGGCTTGGTCCTTTAGTCCCATCCTCCACAGTAACCTTGGGGTTAATCAACTCAGTGTCTCCTCCGTGACTAGAAAAGAGGCTTGCACAAAACCGGCATTAATTAGATTTAACTGAATCATCAACAATGCTTCCCCAAAAGAAATTCCTAAAAAGAAAAAAACAGAAAGAAAACTACTTCACTTGGGGCTCAGTGGAGCTCAGTTGGCAGTGTTCTTACACACACACACATACACTCACAGGCACACACACTCACAGACACTCACACACACTCTCTCTCACACACACACACACTCACAGATACACATACTCATAGACACACACATTCACAGATACTCACACACACACTCTCATACACACACTCTCTCTCTCTCTCACACACACACACACACTCATAGACACACACGCGCGCGCACACACACACACACACGCACACACACACACATGCTAGTGTCTGGAGCAAGAGGATCAGTTCAGGGTCACACAGCTAGCTAGAGGTCAGCTTGTGCTGCAGGAGGTCCTGTCTCAAATACAAACAACGATAAAAACATGGCAGGTTGACAGACGCCTCTAATCCGATTATCATTCATGAGGCAGAGGCAGGTGGATTTTTGTGAGTTCGAGTCCAGTCTATAGAGAGTTCCAGACTAACCAGGGCTACAGAGTGAAACTTTGTCTCAAAAGAATGGGGGTGGGGGAAGAAGAGTGAGAGAAAAAAAGAAGAAAGAAAAAGAACTTTTCCTTTTTCATACAAACTGAGGATTGCGCAGTTACCCGAACAGGAGCAAAAGCGAAAGTGAAACGACCGCATTCTTCTCTGAGACCGCAAGGCCTGCACACAGCCGATCTGGGGTCACGATCAGGGATTCGGGTCTTCTGTGGTGCTTCCGAAGCCTCTGACTCACTGCGATCTTGGGTAATAATTCTCCCAGACTCCTTACACCTCATTTCCTATTTTCGCAACATGGAAAATACGTTTGTGCCTTCTCTGCCAAGTGTGGCGGTGTCGGGAAAGCAGAAGACACACGAATGCCTTTGGAATGCTTCACCAGGCCGCCTTCCCTGCAGTCTGTGGTTTCAAAGGCTTGCTCAGCAGCAGTGGTTATTTTGATGCCCAGCCTCCTTCCAGGTCCAAAATATTCTCGATTGTGTTCAAATTTAGCCCTGACGATAAGAGCATGTTGGGCTGGAATACACTCCAGGGACGTGCGGAGCAGCGCTTCTCAACGATTTGTAATTCCTACTCCCCTTGATAAGGATTAAAAATCTCACCCCTTGCTGAGGGAGGTGGCTCAGGCCTTTAGTCCTAGTATAGGGGTAGAGGCAGATGGATCTCTCTAGCCTGGTCTACTGAGCTAGTCCCAGGACAGCCAGGGCTACACAGTGAAACCCTGTCTTGGGAGTGAAAAAAACAAAAACAAAAAACAAAAAAAACCCACTTCCACACCTTTTATACATTTTATAGTATGAAAGGCAGAGTTAATGTTTTTCCTTTTCAAAGTATATGTTTTTATAATAAATACATTTGTTATTTACAACAAATAAGGGGTGGCCTGGGAGAAGGTTGAGCAGATAAAACTCCTGTAATATAATTTGGAAATATGCTTGACCCTTTCCTGGTGGCAGTTGTGGGTATCGTTACTAACCTCAAGGTTTGTCACCATTCATGAATGAAGTTTATATTGCGCTGCAGTTAGAGGTCCAAGAAAATATAACCTTTTCCCTCTTGTGTCCACAGGATCCCAGACATTCAACCAAAGACAACGGTCTGCAGAAACCTGGAGAGGGGCAGCTGGTTAGGGGGACTGGGTTCATTTGTCTTTATGTTCACAGGGAAAAACTTAAAAAACACTGTAGATGTTCCAGGGCATCTGTATGGGACTGGTCCAGGGCATCTGTATAGGACTGGTCCAGGGCCCCAAGGAAGCCAAGTCAACGGAAGTTCAAATCCCTTGTATAAAATGATGCAATATTTTACTCAAATCGGCACCCATCCTCCTATACACTTGAGGTCATATCTAGTTTACTTACAATACCTCATACAGTGTAAAGCTCCCCACATAGCTGTCTCCTATTATTTGTGTTATAAAGGTAAGGAGGAAAGTCTATACACGCTAAGTATGTGAGCCTGGCTATATTTTTAAAGCTTGTTGGCTGAATCTGAGTATGAAATATGCAGGTAAGAAAGGCCAACTATAGCCAGGCCGTGGTGGCGCACGCCTTTAATCCCAGTACTTAGGAGGCAGAGGCAGGCGGATCATTGTGAGTTCGAGGCCAGCCTGGTCTGCAGAGTTGAGTTCCAGGACAGCCAGGACTACACAGAGAAACCCTGTCTCAAAAAGCTAAAGAAAAAAAGAAAAAAGAAAGACTTTCTTCTTTGGAGGGCTCACACCAAAACAGATCTAGCAAAACGGCTCATTGATGATGGTGGATCTTCAAACACATCTATTTAGAACCACATCCCTCCCTGGCTACATGAGAACATAGTTCCTCAAAGCTTTAGCATAAAAACGTAACCAGAAATACACACACTGGGGACACTCGGAGGAGAGAGTCCGTTTCCTAACAACTCCCTCGCCATGTGCAATGGGATCTTGAAGGGGGCGGCGTGCGTCTCTAAATACGTAAGAAATGTAAAAAGTTATCTTTCTACAGTCCTTGGCTTCCTACCGCAGCACTGACTAATGCAAGATGTTTCAGCCCAGCCATGGGGCTCTCTTCAGATTACCAAATACTTCCTTTCTTCTCTTTCCGTTGCTTCAGTTCTGGTCGATAGCATTTCATAAGTTTGTAAAAATAAAGACACAAATCGGAGCAAGCTGGAGAAAGAACCTTGCTCACTGCAGTTTTCCCAGGTCCTTCCAGGGCCAATTCCCTCCAGGGCACACTGGACCGTCTCTACCTGAACCCAGCAGTTGGGCGCATGCTCTGACCCATCTCCACTCCGCAGCCTCCGGAACGAGGCAGCTCCTCCGCCGTCCACTGTCTGCCCCACGTCAGATGTGAAGCGGATTGGCTCACGACTTCCAGCATCATCTTCAAGAATAAATGCCAGAAAAGAATAGTTTACCTTAAAAGCGCTTCCTCAGTCCTCCCCAAGCAATTCAGGAGCCACGTTCACACTTCACCAGCCAGTCAGACTCAAAAGAATGTTGAGCTAGTTGTTGGCCCACCCCCAGCCCATCCTGTCTGAGGCTGAAACATCTGCAACATTAAAAAAAATGAGCTATGTAGAAATAAGCAGTTTTGGAAACTGTGCGTCAGAAACTAGTGGCTTGTTGCCTGTATGAGACATTCCTGTCAAATTCCTACAGAACCACGGAGTAAAATCCCCAGCTGGCGGGAACAGAAGGCCAAAGTTCTGCGGGAAAGGAGGGGAAAAGGTGTCCCTGAACTTCCCCAAGGCGGAGCTTACAGGACACTTTGCACAGTGTGGAAATGGGCAGTTTTTCCTCCACCTTTGCTCCCTGCGCCGGCTTTTTCACCTGTGAGCTGCAAACACATTCACACTATGGTAGGGGTAGCAACGACTCCCTTGAGACCACTTCCTGGAGTTCCCAAACTACCTGCCCTTTTTCTTTCTGTTCTACTTGCTTAAGACAGTGGTCCCCAGTCAGGATCTTCCTGTCCTGTTCCTGAGATGGGTGGGTGGTTTGGTTTGGTTTGATTGGGATTTAATCCGGTACTCAGGACGAAGAGGCAAAGACAGGCAGGAGCATCTCTGGATTTAAGAGTATCCTAACCTACATAGTGAGTTACAGGCCAGCCAGGCCTATCTAGTGAGACCCTGTCTCTAATCTTTATATTGTTGGGGGCTGGAGGAATAGCTTAGTGAGGTGGATGTCTAGCACACATAAAGCCCTGAGTTAAGTCCCCAGTACCTCATAAACCAGGTAAGGTGGTGCACACCTGTATTCCCAGTACGTGAAGGTGGAGAGAGGAGGTTCAGAAATTCAAGGTCACCTTCAGGTACATAGTGAATTACAGGCCAGTTTGGCTACAGGAGACTTTGTCTCAAAAGACAGATGGACAGATAATCAGACAGATAGATAACAGTCAGCCATGTGGCACACACATGCAGTTCCAGCACTCAGAGGCAGGGGCAGGCTGATCTCCGAATTCAATGCCAGCCTGATCTATAGAGTAAATTCCAGAACAGGCAGGGCTACACAGAGAAATCCTGTCTTGAAGAAAAAACAAAACAAAACAAACAAGCCAGATGTACTCGTATGCACCAGGCATCACAGCGCTCCTAGGGAGAGATGACAGACTAGACAGAACTGTCCTGCTAGCCTGGAGTTCACACGGCAGAAACAAGCGGGACCCTGTGTCTCCCTATACGACGGAAAGAAAACCAGTTCCTGAAGTTGTCCTCTGACTTCCTCTCATATTGTGTCAAGTGTGTGTTCACACTCACAAACCACACACACACACACCAATGATAAATTAAAAATTGAAATTTCACAAAAGGTATTTCATGGATAATCTTTCCATTAATATTGTCCATGGTTGGATGTGGCAGTACAAGCCATCTTGGCATTCACGAAGTAGAGACAGGATGATAGAGCGATACTTAACCATCAGCCTGAGCTATACGGCAAGATGCTAAAACCAAAACTCTAACAAAACTAAAACTACCAACTTCCAACATGAATTCAATTTTAAAATAAAATCTGGGTGCAGAGCTGTTTCCAGAAATTTCAGCACTTAGAAGGTTGAAGCAGGAGGCTCACCATGAGTTCAAGGCCACTCTGGGTTACCTAGTGAGTTCCAGGTTGCTCTAAGCTACAGAGTAAGACCCTATGTCAAAAGACAAAAACAGGGGAATGGGGGCTGAGAGATGGTTTAGAGCACTGGCTGCTCTTCCCCAGGACAAATCAAGTTCCCAACAACCACATGGTGACTCACAACCATCTGAGTTCCAGGGGATCTGACACCCTCTTCTGGCCCCCAAGGGCAACAGGCACACACATGGTTCACAGACATACACCTATACGCATAAAATTAAAGAATAAAAATTAAATTTAAAAGATGGCTTCGGGGCTAGAGAGATGGCTTAGTAATTAAACACTGACTGCTCTTGCAAAGGACATAGGTTCAATTCCCAGCACCCACATGGTGGGTGCAACCATCCATAACCCACATTCCAGGGGTTCAAACAGGCACAAGTGTGGTGCGAGACATGCAAATGTGGGCAAAGCATTTATACACATATAAAATAAATAAATCTAAAAAAAAAATCCTGTAACCATAACCCTAAATATACAGAAAAATGTTTGGTTAGCAGTAAAATCCCCACTATTAGCATTTACGCAATTGATCAAAGTCTCAAAAACATATTACAAATTCTGAAAACTGCTGGGAGCACGACTCAGAGCTATCAAGCTCTCCCAGCATGTACAAAGCCCTGGGTTTCATCCTCGACACCAAAGTAAGCTCTCACACACTCACACATACATACATACATACATACATACATACATACATACATACATACGTGTGTGTGTGTGTGTGTGTGTGTGTTTAGAGAGAGGCATGAAAGCTTATTGAGAGATGCTCATTTGTTTGTTTGTTTCTATGTAGCCCTGGCTCTCCCGGAACTCACTCACTATCTGGTCTATATACTAGGCTGGCTTTGAACTTAGAGAGGTCTGCCTACTTTCACCTCCCAAATGAGAAATCTTTTTTAAGTTATTTTTATTTTTACTGTGTATTTGTGCATGTTACGTCGGAGGGGTGCTTGTGCGATTTGGCATACATGTGGAAGATGGAGGTCAGAGAATAATCTCAAGAGTTAGTTCTTCCTTCCATCTCTATATGGGTTCTGGGGATTGAACACAGGTTACCAGGTCTGCACAGCAAATACCATCACAGACTGAGCCAGTCCCTAGCCTGAGAAACGCATTCTGTTCTTTCTTTCTCTCTTTCTCTCTTTCTTTCTCTCTCTCTTTCTTTCTTTCTTCCTATCTTTCTTTCTTTCTTTCTCTCCTTCCTTCCTTCCTTCCTTCCTTATTTCTCTCTCTCTCTGTCTCTCTTCCTTCCTTCCTTCCTTCCTTCCTTCCTTCCTTCCTTCCTTCCTTCCTTCCTTTGTGGGTTTTTTGAGACAGGGTTTCTCGAAACCTGGCTGTCGTAGGTTGAAACATAGCCGTGGCTGTCCTAAAGCTCTCTCTGCAGACCAGGTTAGCTTCCAACTCATGGAGATCCACAGCCTCTGCCTCCCAAGTGCTGGGATGAAAGGTGAGGTATGTGCCCCCACCACCTGCAAAATACATTCTTTAATGAGCTAACATGAATTCAGTACATTTTTTAATGCAAGTGGATGCATCTCTGGAGAGATTATTAGAATACCACTTGGTATAACTGTGTCAGAAATTTCACTTACAGACGTCAGCATTGAGGAGCCTGCCCCTAAAGAGCACAGAAAGGAAGGGAAGCATCATAACTATAGCAATGTCAGACGCACTTTCAATTCCTTCACAGGTCACAGCCTTCCCACGGCTCTGCAACACCATCTCTTCCAATGGAAAAAGACACGTTGAGCGCCCCTCATCTCCAGTCACCTTCTCATACTGGCATCAATATTTGGCGGATCTATTCTGACCTGTGGGGCCGAGGAGGGATTTTCCCACACCAAAACACAGCACCATAGACGGCAGAATGGCAAATGGCATGCCCTTCCTGTAGGGATGGATTTGTTCATGGTGGGGTGTGGAGATGGGGTTCATTTCAGAAAAGGATATCTATATAGACAATGGAGATCTGAAAATTGCTTCCCTTGCCAGAACTGAACTAAATCAAATTACGTCAGCCACTTGCTCCTCTACCCAACCTCTGACCTGCAGCCTAGGCACACTGAGCTGCCCCTCACCAAGTCTCAGGTTAACTCGGTTGACCACATCGTTCCCAGGTCAACATCCTATTCAAGCCTATCCAAGAAGTCACTGTCCTAGCTAACCGCCTGCCCTAAAGACACAGAGCCACTGTAACATACCATGCCTCCGCTGAGAATGGGTCAGAACCTCTCCAGGAAAAGAACCCACATGGAGTCCAGAGAAGCAGTGCCGCCCCCAAGAGACAGTAAAATGGCGAATGATAAACTAGGAAGGACTGGGTTAAATACAACTTCTCACTAAGTTTTGTTTGTTTGTTTTTTGTTGTTGTGTTTGTTTTGAGACTGTGTCTCACTCTGGAGCTCTGGTTGGCCTAAAACTCACTATGCAAACAAGTCTGGCCTCAGACTCACAGAGACCCACCTATATCTCCTGCCCGAGAGCTTCAACTAAAGGTGTGTGCCACCAGGGCTGCATTACAAAGTACTCCTGAGGTAATTTTTTTTTTGTTTTTGTTTTTTTTTTTTTTTTGAGACAGGGTTTCTCTGTAGCTTTGGAGCCTGTACTGGCTGGAACTAGCTCTGTAGACCAGGCTGGCCTCGAACTCACAGAGATCCACCTGCCTCTGCTTCCCGAGTGCTTGGATTAAAGGTGTGCGCCACCACCGCGCAGCCCTTCAGCGATAGTGTTTTCACCTGTTGAGGCTAATGCCTCATTTCTTTCTCCTTGACTGTGCATATGAACATATGATGTGTCTCCATGTGTGTGACATGCCTGGGTGTGTATGCGTATGAGGCTCATATGAGATGTGTGCATGTGTTCCCACAGATACACACCACAGTAGACGTGTCAACTCAGAAGTCAGGCTTCACCCTCCACCTTCTTCTCCCTTCTCTGAAGCTCCGTCTCTGCTGTTTGCAGCTGCACTGTGTACACCAGGCCAGGCAGCCAAGGACTTTCCAGAGATTCTTCTGTCTCCACTAAACACACGGATTACAAACCAAAGTGCCCCTCTGTGTGTCCATCCTCAGGACACGACACTACTACCTGCTGAGCTATGCCCCATCCCCTTAAGCACTTCCCACTGAGTCATCTCCCCAGCCCCCTCCACCACTGTATTTCTTAAAGCACCGTGTGTAAAGACTGAGATAATATACACAATGTGAGCGGGCAGTAAATTAAAGACCTCAGTAAACCTTTCTTTCATGCAGCACACACTCGCTGACCAGCATTATGTGGCAGGCCTTGCAGAGGAGCTAGGCAGGAAATGTCAAAGCAAAGACATCAGTGAATTGTAGGTAACATTGTTCTTTCAGCAGGCGATGAGCTTCCAGTCAGGGAAATGCTCATTCAGTGTCACCTCCAGCCACGCCCTACACTCCCCTCCTCAACTCCCTGGCCTCCTCTCTCTTCCCAGACTCCCCTAGCTCTGAATCTTTTCGTTCATTCTTTTAATCACCTAGATTCTTCCCCCACCATTTAGCAGCCTGGTCAAACCCCCAAAATGGCTGTCGGATGCCTTGCCTCCAGACGGTCTACCGACTCCTCCTCTTCTAGAACATGGCGCACTGGTGCCTCAGAGCTCAGTCCCTTGACGGCTCCTATCACTCAGCGAGGACTCCTTCTATCATCTCCGTCTCGGGCTCTAATTATTTACGTGCTGGTGGTTTCCGACATGAGTCACCACCTCAGGCCTCCCGTCTCCACTCGCTGGTCTCCATGGATACTGTTACTGAGTGGATACAGGTGGGCCTGAACGCTCGGCGTTCTTCCCGAACCAAACGCTCAAAGCCAGAACTAGAGTCAGGCCTTGATTTCTCCTTTCCTCCCAGTTCCACCCCCCGCCAAGGATAACACCTCCGAGTTCCGACTTCAGGCCCGGAAGCTGCCCTACGTTGTCAGGAGCCCTGGCAGAAGCCGGCACTTTTTTAGACTTCTACAGTGTCTCATTTTCTTGTTTTCTTTTGGTGGTGGTGTTGGGGAAGGATGGTTGTTTCTGTTTAGTTTGTTTTAAATAGGGTCTCAGCGGCTGGAGAGATGGCTCAGCAGTCAAGAGCACTGGCTGCTCTTTCAGAGGACCTGGGTTCCATTCCCAGCACCCTTATGGTGGCTCACAACCGTCCATAACTCCAGTTCTAGGAGATCTGACATCCTTCTCTAGCCACACACAGACATATATGCAGGCAAATCATTCACACACATAAAACAACAATTAATAAACCTTTTTTAAAAAATTAAATAGGGTTTTACTCTGTAGCCTAGGGTGGCCTGGAGTTCATTAACAATCCTCCTGCCTCCGCTTCTCAGGTTTAGGCATACTAGGGATGAGCCACTATGCCTGCCTTCTCACAGTAATCAGAGGAGAGAGAGAGAGAGAGAGAAAGAGAGAGAGAGAGAGAGAGAGAATGCATGTGGGGGTGGGGGTGCCGTGCATGGAGGCCAGAGGCCAGAGGAGGCCATCAGGTGACATTCTCCAGCACTCTTAGGAATCTCCAGCTGAACCGGAGGCTTGACACTTTGTAAGCTGGATGGCCAGCAAGCACCTGCCCACCCGCCACCCCCATTCACCCCCCTCTGTCCCCCAGCACTGGGATTACAGTACACACAGCTCTTCCCAGCTTTGTATGTGGGTATAGGGATTTGAACTCAGGACCCCATGTTATGAGACAAACATTCTTACCCACTGAGACAAGTCCACACACCCAGTGCAGTCGTTTGACCTCTGTCGTGTTGTGTCCTCCCAGTGTGTTCAGAAGGGGGATGGATAGAATGGACTCACTCCGGCAGGCGGTCCTCTGAGTCCACAAGCATGCGGAGGCACAGATGTGCGTGCCCCCTCCCACACACACGTGGTTTTTTAAATATTTATTTATTGTATGTATGTAAGAGCTGCTTTGCTTGCATACATATCTTTGTACCTCATGCATGCCTGGGGTCCAATCACTTCTCACAGTAACTGAATGAAGAAAGAAATGAAAAGGACATGGCTGCTCCTAGGTATGGTGGAGGAGAAGGGTTATTGTGGGTAAAAGGGAAAGCGTGGGCAGAGGCAGCGACATAGGGACATGGAGGTGGGGGGGGGGGAGTCGGGGGTAAACATGACCCTGAACCATGTGAGGAGAGAGGGGAGGGGAAGAAAGAGGAGAGAGAACCAGGTATCGCAGCCAAGAGAGCAAAAGGTAAAAAAATAAAAATAAAAAATTAAAAAGCAGGGGAGAATAGTACATGACAGGGAAGGTAACCACAATGGCTGGATTATATGAGGGCAGCCCTGACCTTGGGCTGGAGAGTTGGTGATGGGTGGTTATGGCAGCCATACCCTGCAAAATGTTAGAGACTAAGGGATTCTGGGAGAACCTGATGGCCAGGTCCACTTTGATAGGTTAAATAGACACCTCAGTTTATTTGTCCCATTGGATTGCCTGGACCTGGAGCTATGGCAGTCACCAGCCACATGTGGGTCCTGGGAGCTGAACTCAGGTGCCCTACAAGAACAAAAAATGTTCTTAACCACTGAGTCATCTCTCTAGCCCTTCATAAATGTTATTAAAGTTTTTAAAAAATACCAAGTCCCTAAAATGGTGCTAAACAGTGGGGCAGGGGGACAGTTCCGGACAGAGCCCTTACTCAGCATGTGTAATTTCTGGCTTCAGGTCATAGCACAGGAAACCGGTCACCAACCAGCCCGACTCACAACCTCTCGGGCCTCACCTTCTCTCCACCTCATTCACCCAGCTCAACACTTCTGCCCTTCCTAGGCTTTGCCAGAGGCAATGTCTTCCACAGTTTCCTAGTCTCCGCTTCCTGGGGCTACGTCCCTCCATCACTTCCGAGGGCTGCTGTGGTCATGGTTCCTCCCCAGCTTTTGGTCCAGGCCGTAGAGCATCCCCAGTCCCCTGAACCTCCCCACTGCTTAGCCTCTGGGGAAGTGGAAACAGAAAACTCACTCTGCAGGCTGGAACTACAGCTCAGGTGTGCTGTGCCACTCTGCTGGGTAACTCTGATCCCCGTCCTGCCTCAGGAAAGTCCCTGTTCTCTCCTGAGCACACCTGGCCCCTTCCAGGTCTAGTCACAGGTAGAATAACAAATAGACGTTAGTTTAGGGGGCTGGAGTTTGTCTTTAGTTTTCTTTTTTTTTTTTCTTTTACATTTATTTATTAGTGAAGGGGGTGTGGGGTATTTTCATGGCAAGGTGTGGGCATCAGCAGACAGCAGAAATCAGTTCTCTCTTCCCACTGTGTGGGTTCCAGGGACAGACCGTGGGTAGTCAGGTTGGGCAGTAGGTGCCTCTACCTACTGAGCCATCTTACTGGCCCTGCCTTTGTGTTTTAAAAGCCCAACTCTCTGATATCCATCAATATAACTAGGTAAAGACCATGATGGATGGCTAAGTCCTTTCATTTTCATATGTAGGTATTACTCACAGGGAACTTTTTGAAATCTTTCTGAGTCTCTCCGTGCCAGACACACACACACACACACACACACACACACACACACACACACACACAGCTTTTCTGCCCTCTCTTCCCACCCTACCCCACCTCTTTCCCCTTCATTGTTCACAGGGTAAGCAAGAACTTCAGTCAGTGACATTCTTCCTGCACTTAGCATGGTTTGCTGGTGACTAGTCTCTTTTATGAGTGTGGAGGCAGCCTCCAGAGCGCTTAGTCACAAGGTACTCTTCCCCACTCAGATTCCCACTCTTCGCCAACTCCAAGCACTGTGGGAATGCTCAGCTGCTCGGAGATCCTGAAGAACAACAGTTCCTCCACGACGGGGCACAGTAAGGATGGAGCGAGACACAAAGCGCCCAGCAGTTGCTGGCACACAGGATGTAGACACCCATCATCCGTCACAGGCACTGGTTGGTCCAAGGACTGCAGTTCTCAGTAAGCAGCGCATGGAGAGATCAATTGTTCCCACGACTCCCAAAGCAGGCTGGATTCAGGAAGGGCTGCTGCTCTTCTAACTTGTGGAAGGCACAGTGTTGACTGAGCTCCCTGCCTTCCACCTGGGGGAGCCCCAAAGGGTTAGGGAGAAAATAAAACACTTCTATGTTATAAAAATAATACACTCGTTCTAAATACAAATTTCCCAGTCTTTCTTTCTTTGTTTCTTCTCGAGACACAGTTTCTCTGTGTAGCCCTGGACATCCTGGAACTCACTTTGGAGGTCAGACTGGCCTCAAACTCAAGAGAGCCGCCTGCCTCTACCTCCAAGTGCAAAAATTAAAGAAAGGAATGAGCCTCCCCTCCCAGCCAGATTGCTCAATTCGGCGCTCTTATCTATGCTCTCTACAGTCTCAACAATTCCTACAAACCTGATTCTAAGGAAACTGTAGCTTCCTGCTCTATCTCCCCACCCCACCCCCGCCCTGCCGCTGCCCAGTGCCCTGTTCAGTAGTGATGTCTCCAGTCCACTCAACACTTCCTCCATTAATACAGCAGTAACAGCTCCAGTCCACTCAAGGACATGTTCAAAATAGAAAAACTGACTTCCTAAAACTTGAGCTGATTAATACCTGGTTTATCCTTGCATTTTTTTTCTTTCTTACTAGCTTTTTAAAACAAAACTGAGAATCTTAACTGAATCTTTTAAATAACAGTAGAGATTGTCTCACCTCCACACACCGCAAGCCGGTGCTTTGACATTCATATTTATTTTCATTTTCTAGGGATGTATGGGCGTTTGGCCGGCACGTTTGTTTGCGCAGCACATGCGTGCCGTATGCCAGCACAGGCCAGAAGACTTTGCCCAGTCCCCTGGAACTGGAGCTACAGCTGTGAGCCCCACAGTGTGGGTGCTGGGAATTGAACCCAGGTGCTCTTAAGTGCTGAACCATCTCCAGCCCCAGGAAGGAACACTGTTCACCAACACTCACCAGATATAGATATGCCCTGTCTCCTCTGAGTCTTCTCATCCATATTCAGATGCACCAGACCAGTCGCGGCCCGCACCGTGGTGCTCCGCGGGGCTCTTCCGGAGTGAAAGTTTCTGACCCTGAGAGGACTCTGACTCAGCACATCGAAATCGTAGGCTTCAGATTCAGGGGATGGGAGCCTTCCTCCCCTTTTTTCAAGATCTGCTGAGAAAACAACAAAATGAGATTTTTTTTTTTTTAAAGTTTGGAAGGTCAAAGAATTTAAACATGTGACCCCGCTAAACTAGAGAAAGCTAGGACGAAGAAGGCTCACATAAACATCATTCTCTCGGATTGCTGCGCTTAATTCCGTATTAGCATTTAAATTGCCACAGTAGGACCTGGGAAAATACTGCAGGAAGCAAAAGGCAGGTGGGAAGGCTGGTGCGGGCTGCTCCTGTTCTCGCCCGTTTGGAGTCCTTTATCCCCTAGCAGACCTCTGAGAAAGCACTGAGAACGCTATCTCTCTCTCTCTCTCTCTCTCTCTCTCTCTCTCTCTCTCTCTCTCTCTCTCTC